AGTTACCAGGGCAACCTTTCTTGCACCTTTTGCATCCTGCCAGACATCCTCCTTCTGTGGACTTCTAACATCCTGCCTTCCTTGCAGCTACACCCCAACTACCCACAAAACCTACCCCCTCCAAACCCACTTCATCAACTATATAGCTAGCCCAGCAAAAAATAGAATTGCCACTTGATCAGGATCCTGTCTTGTGGTCTTTTCTCTCGAGCCTCCTGCCCCACTCTTTTCATTCCTCACAGGTCTCTGTTCCACATTCAGTCCCAGCTGGACCGGGACAGATGGCTCTAGAAGAAACCATCCTGAGTGAGGTAACCCAGTCACAAAAAGACAAGCATGGTATGTACTCTCTCATATATGGATTTTAGGCCTGAAACAAGGGAGTACCAGCCTACAATCCCCAGCCAGAGAGTCTGGGAAATAAGGAGGACCCTAAGAAAGATATGCATGGTAACCCAGAGAAGGGTAACAGGACAGAATCTTCTGAGGGGATTGGGAGCATGGGGGTGGGGTGGGTGAGGAAGCTGGGAGAAAGACAGTGAGTGAAGAGGAGGGGAGAGGAGGACATGGTTGAGTCGGGGAAAGAATAGAGGAGACCAGGATGAGGGATACCATTATAGAAGGAGCCATTATAGGTTTGAAGAGAGATCTGGCACTAGTGAGATGTCCAGAGGCCTACAAGGATGATACCAGCTGGCAATCTAACCAATAGTGGAGAGGCTATCTTAAATGCCCTTCCCTGATAACGTGATTGACGACTTCCTTGAATGACTTCCTAGAGTCTTCATCCAGTGGCTGAAGGAAGCAGAGGCAGACACCCACAGCTAAACACTGAACTGAATTCCTGGAACCCAGTTGCAGAGAGGGAGGAGTGATGAGCAAAGGGGTTATGACTTCGTGGGTGAAACCCACAGAAACAGCTGACCTGAACAAGGGGGAGCTCATAGACCACAGACTGATAGCTGAGAGGCCAGCATGGGACTGATCCAGACTCCCTGAACCTGGGTGTCAGTGAGGAGGCCTCAACATCCTTTGGGGCCACAGGCAATATATCAGCATTTAGCCCTGTCATCCAGATGGACTTTGGGAGACCATTCCATGTGGAGGGATGCTCTCTCAGCCTGGACACATGGGGGAGGGCCTAGGCCCTGCCTGGGATCATATGACAGACTTTGGAGATTCCCCATGAAGGGCCTCACCCTCCTTGGAGAGTGGAGCAGGGATTGGAGGAGGGGTTGGGAGAGGGTTGAAGGGGGGGCGGGAGAGGAGGAGAGGGAGAGGGAGCTGGGATTGACATGTGAAGCAAACATGTTTATAATTTAAATTGAATAAAAAAAAAGAAAAAAATAATTATAGCCACACTAGAGATACAGCTGCTTTTAGGAACCAAAATATAACACTTGTGATGATCTAGGTTCCAGGGTCTACATAAGTGTGTTTTAACTGCAGGGCACACCTAATGAGAAACTGAAGGAAAGCAGGTTACTGGGCCCATTATGTCAGACCGGTCATGAACTTCTCTGCTGGTGAAACAGAGGGCCCCATCTGGAAGAGTGACTTTTCAAATGCAAACATCTATTGGTAATCTGTCCTAACATAGATTTGGTAAGGCTGTTTTTGTTTGTTTGTTGTTTTGTTTTGTTGTTGTTGTTTTGTTTTTTTGAAGCATCAAGCCATCCTGATAGTTGTGAGAAAACAGGCCGCTCACAGGTCACTTAGGACCCTTGAATGAAGTGAACTCTTACAGCCTTTGAATATAAACAAAATCTGAGCCAAAGTACAACTAAAACTCCCTGGGGCCGTGGAGATGCCTCAGAGGGCGAAGCACTTGCTGTGAGGCCTAGGGCTCGTCTGCTGGCAGAGAACTGCACCCTACAAGTTTGCCTCTGACCTTCACGTGGTTCCTTGGTGACCCCTGCTAGGCACAGATTAAAATGTAATACACACACACGCACACACACACACACATTCATATAGAAAGTCAAGTGAGCCTAACCCTGGGTTCTGGAGTTAAAAAAATCTGGCTCAGGGCCACTGGACGACAGCCATGGAGGTTCTGGAACCAGCAGCCACATGGACAGATGAAGGGTGTACTCTGCCCTCTGGATAGAGCCCAAGGTTTTGGTCACAGATAACATCACCTGCTTCGTGATTATTTTGGAACACTTTGGAAATGCCAATTCTTGAAGCATCACACTGAGATAATAGCTTAAGATAAAGGAACAGCTTTGTCCCTGAAAGTACAAAATGTGTTTCCCAGTCTCCAATTGGCACAGGCCACTTCCTTGTATCTTCCTCCAGTGTCCTGTCATGTTTTCTCTGCCATGTCTTCCTCATCTCCCCCTGCATTTTGCTTTCCAACCCCATTTTGGATCCAGACTCATTTAGTACTACCACAGGGCACCCTCCCCCAAATGGAAATTTACTGAAGAAGAATTGGCATTGGGCCGCCCTAGTTCCACAACTGTTCTCAGCCCCACCTCCGTTAATTTTAATTTAATATCTTTTTTCAAGACAGGGTTTCTTTGTGCAGTCCTGGCTGTCCTGGAACTGGCTCTGCAGACCAAGGTGCCCTAGAACTCACAAGAGATCTGCTATCCTCTGACCCCTAGAGCTGGGATTAAAGGCATGAACCACCACTGGCTGGCTATATATATATATCTATATATATATATAGATATATATATATATTCCGTTTGTCTTTTTTTTTTTTTTTGGTTTTCAAGAGACAGGGTTTCTCTATATTGCTTTGGAGGCTGTCCTGGAACTCGCTCTGTAGACCAGGCTGGCCTCGAACTCACAGAGATCTGTCTGCGTCTGCCTCCCAAGTGCTGGGATTAAAGGCTTGCACCACCAATGGCCAGCCACATGCAAGCAATGCCTGAAGAGGCCAGAAGAGGGCATCAGATCCCCTGGACCTAGAGTTACAGACAGTTGTGAGCTGCCATGTAGGTGCTGGGAACCCAGTTCTCTGCAAGAGCAGCCAGTGTTCTTAACTATTGACCCATCTCTCCACTCCAGCACACACACACAACCTCACTTATTTTAAATGGCGGAAGGTGGGAATGGTCAGACAATGTGTTTTTCCTATTCCAAACAGCCTCTAGTAAGGGCCAAGGCTGAGCCACAGGCTGGGAATCTCAGCTCTCTTGTTGTCATCACCAGATGTGCTTGTCAGCCATCTTAGCCGTTTGCTTCTTATCCCTCTACCAGGATTCAGCCTCTGTGAGGTTTGGTGCTGCAAGGCGGAGCCTTCCTCATTCTCTGCGGCTCTACCCTTCCCTTCCCCTATAGGAGGGCTGCTGGGGGACGTGCGTGTGTGCGTGCGTGCGTGCGTGCGTGCGTGCGTGTGTGTGTGTGTGTGTGTGTGTGTGTGTGTGTGTGTGTGTGTGTGTGTGCGTGTGCTGGGAGCGAGGCCTCATCTTCATTTCAAAGCACTGCATGAAAAATGTATTAGGTAGAGTTGCAGACGCTGGCTATCAAACCTGAGCCAGTCAATTGAGAGTCCCTGAAGGTCCTGCTGGAGCAACAGCGAACTTCTCTGGAGAGATATTGTGAAATAAATGAAAAGCTTCCTTCTCTAGACTGATAGAAATGGAGGAGGGTCAGGTTTTTCCTCTTCTGGTTCACTTAACGCCAAGTACCTTCCTGGACTACTTCGAAGTCCTCAAGCAAATGCCAACAGGAAGCACACAGTTAGTAGGGCCCAGACCACCCCAGGAGAGGGACAGGAGCTCATCTACTGCCACCAGCTGTAGCCAGGGAAAGAACCACTGTTGTCAGGTCTGAGTGTTTTTTTCTGCATAGGGACTTGAACCCAGGGCCGTGAGCTTGCTAGGAGAGCTCTCTGAGCTACACCTCCAGCCTCCAACTCTCACTGGTAAGAGAGCTGTTAATCCAGTTTGCCTGTGTGTGTATACAAAGGTGTGATTGTGAACTTTGTTTTGAAATGTTGGCATGTGCACTTAAAAAGCAGACCAGACAAAGTTTGTACCCCACCTCTGCTCTAGACTCAGGGCCTGTTTAGGATGCAGTGTAAGAAAGACACATCATCCATAACTTTCTATGAGTTGAGGGCTTCTTTCTTTCTTTTTTTATTCTTTGGGGAATGAATGCTCTATTTATAATCTATCTCAGGAACATATACTACTTAAACTCACTATGGCCAAAATTAGTGTAATAGTTCATTCACCTACATATTCCAGTCACTAATTAAGTGCTAGCAGGGTGTGTACCTCATGCCTATAATCCAAGCATTTGGGAGGCTGAAGCAGAGTCTGAGGCTAGTCTGAGATACATATGTGTTCTAGGCCAGCCAGAGCTGCGAGTGAGACTCTGCAGTCTAGCGATAGACAAAGGAATCTTAAGCGCCCTTGAATGCCCTTAAAGTAGGTTGCTTTCAGTCCAAACGCAGCTATGATCTCCACATACTCACTACCAACACAGAAGCTGAGTTCTCATCAGTACACTTTGTATGGCTCAATCTCCTTGATCACGCTCCCCTTTCTAAAGGCTAGACTGAAGTTCGGTACCCACAAGGCTGACTGCTCAAGAAACCTGGAGCTTACCTGCCAATGCTGATTTTTTTTCCTCTAGGGGAAAAATGCATACACAAACACACAGACAAAGATGTGCACACATGTGCATGTAGATCATACATACACACACACACACACACACCTCTGTTCAGAGAGTATAGCTATTTGAGGCACTTAAACAGAGAACAGCGGCTCTGCCCCAGCTCCTAGCCAGGAAAAGACAGTGTTCTGTCATAGGAAGTTGCACCTGCACAGAAGGGCTCATCCCTATAGTCGATTAATTTTCCCGGGGAAATATTTCCTCCCCAAATCCCTGACCTTGAACTTGTGCTGTGCTCCAGATAATCAGAGAACAATGGAAGAGTCTCACCGGAAGACAGAGACTCCTTCCAGCACCAACTTAGGAGGTATTCTTCCCCTCCCCCCCCCGGGAGCTCCAGGTCACTGGTGCCCCCAACTCACCTTCTGAAGTTTGAAGAGCCACACACACAGCTACAGCCATGAGGGTGAGTCCTGCCTGCTGCATTCCTGCCTGACCCACTGAGTCTGGCGATGACTCAGGAGGCTGTGGGATCAGGAAATGAATGTAAAGGTGTCCTTGGGTGCCGAGAAACAGCCTAAGTTGGCCAGGTAGCCCCGCCCTAGGAGGCTCTCACATTTCTTTCTTAACACCTGGTTTCAGCCAGGTGGTAAATTCCTAAATTCACAGCCTGATGTGTTCACATTGCAGGGGACGGTAGAACATCTGTGGCCCTATGGCAGCTGAAGAGATCCTTACGAGTAGGCAGTATTCATCAGAATCATTTGGAAGCCATTAAAAATATAGCAGTCTACACGAATACATCTGCCAGACTCCATCTCCACACCAGAGTTCTATGGAAGGAACATCATTTGAATTTCATAGACGCTTCATGGATGATTCTGATGGGCACTCCTGTTGAGAATCGTTACTTAAAAGAAAGAGTTATTTTTGACTAGGCGATAGTGGTGCATGCCTTTAATTCCAGCAGGCAGAGACAGACAGATCTCTGAGTTTGAGGCCAGCCTGGTCTACAGAGCAAATTCCAGGACAAGTTCCAAAGCTACAGAGAAACCCTGTCTCGAGACTCCCCTCCCCCCAGAAAGAAATTGTTATTATTATTTCTTTCTGGGTTTGAAACAGGGAGTTTCTGGGGACAGGGTGATAAGTCATAAAAAATGATCTGCATAGAAAAATAGGAGAAAATTCACCTGGGCTTGGCATGCAGTCAGATTTGGGTTTATTTGGGAGAGAGGCCAGACAGGCCTCCAGTCGTGACCCTGGAAAGACTCAGGGCAGGGCTGGGAGACCCCTGTTCTAGGCCAACCTTGCTGCCAACCGCTTCCTGAGTGAATCCATGGGGCACCAAAGATGGCTTGGTTCTAAAACTGCCTCTCCCCCTGAGCAACTTCAGGCACTGTAGGTAACTTCTCTGTAAACAATGATGCCTTCCAGCATCATTGCTAGAAAAGGTCACTGTGTCCCCACCAGAAGCAGGCACAGGCAAGTTCTGAGGTCTACAAAGCACAGGGAGGCTTCTCTCTTCCTCACATTCCTTCATTGGGGGCCCTAGAATGAAATGGTGGTTGGACAGGAACACTAGAAGACAGATTTCACAGCATGTACAACTGAGATTAAAATCCACTAGTGGAATGACTATGACGAGAATCGCAACCTTGGGGCAGGGTTCACACCATCATTGCGTTACAAAGTAAACCTGCCATCCACTAGCAGGCATCTAGAGATCCCCGAAGGGTCAGAGGCCACATCCTTTTGAATCAAGATAAAGGTAAGAGAAATACTGGGGTAGATTGATTTTGGCTAAGAAGAGGGGAAAACTGAATCATGAGGTTTGTCGAGAGAAAATATGGTGTAAGCTCTGGTTGTGGACTACGTGATGTGTGAGGAGAGTATAGTAAGTCCAACCCGTGTCCAGGAGGCCACGTGTAGCCCAATGTATTTGTAGATGACAACACCAAGTTGCAAAATGGCGAAAGGTTGGACACCCCTGTACATGGGCCAGCATTAACTCAGACCCTAAAATGGTACTGTATAATGTTACAATGGTGGATGCCCAATATGGCTTACTTATTTAGCTCACAGCTTGGGAGGTTCAAGAGCAGAGTGTCATCATCTTAGAATTCAGCTGAGTCAGAACACAATGGAGATGCCTGTGTCCCTGTGGGTCCAAGAGGCTTACAACATCAAACAGAAAACCGGAGAAGAAGAGGCTGGTATCCCACAATTCTTTGTGAGAACGCACACTCAATAGAGTACCACTCAAAGGCTCCATCACCTCCCAACAGCATCCCCCTGAGGACCAAGGCTTTAATCACTGTCCCTGGAAGGATGCTCAGATTCAGACCATGGCAAGTGGCTTCAGAAGAACCTTTCCGATTTAAAGATAATTGGGAACTGAGTGTCATCGGGGGCTAGGATGAATGAAACTGGAGGACTGATGGAGAAAGCATTTGAGGACATAAAATTATGTGAGGGTTTGTGCTTTCCACCGTGAAACATCACTTAGGCTAGAAAGCTCCAGCTGTAAACTTCTACAGACTTATTTCTTTACCAAGAAAAAAACCCAAATAGTTTAAAGAGAAGTGAGGTGACATCGATGGGCCAGGAGAGGGATTATGCTTTATGAGAAAAGACAGAGACAGAAAGATGCGAGGAGTTCTTGTATATGGAAGCTGGGTGTGGAAATCCACAGCAGGGTGGTGGCCTCCAGAGTCTGAGGAGGGTTGGGGGTAGATGGAGAAGGATGCTTACAGGTGTGAGGGTGCAGCAGCAGAGGAGGAATAATGTTTGATGTTCTATAGCACAAAGAGTAGCTATGACTGAAAAAATTAACTATAGATGACACAAGGAAATGGTCAACATGGAGGTGGTTTGGGCTACTCAGTGTCTGACCTTTCGCACATGAACATTGGAATCTCACACTGTACCCAACAACCTACACTTTATGTTAAATAAATATACACACATATATTTAAAGAGAGGGTAAAGTATCAACTTCATTCAATCAAGACAACGTCTACTGCCATCTGTACCCTGGGGAAAATGACCTAGAGGTTTCCAAACAGCACATTTCACATAACAACAACAAAAAGCAGAAATTCTTGAAAATTTGCATACAGACGTGCTATTTCAGAACTCCTATCAGCATTAAATGGCCTAGGATAACTACCTAGTCATCAAGACCCTCCCAACCCTCCTTCTGTATTAAGGATCATCACCATTTTGTGTGTATTAAGTGTGAGTTCCAATTCATGTTAATGGATTTGGTTAAACAGAGCAGGGTCTCGTATTAAAAACCAGGCTCCAAATACTTACTTAATAAAATGTAAGTATGTTTCTGGGCATGGTGGCACTCTCCTTTAACTCCAGCACTTGGAAGGCAGAGGTAGTGAATCTCTGTGAGTTTGAAATTAGCCTGGTTTACAAAGCAAGTTCCAGGACAGCTGGAGTTGTTTCACAAAGAAACCCTGTCTCAAAAAAAAAAATCAGTGTGTGTGTATACATGTGTGTGCATATGTGTGTGTGTTACTATCTTCACGTTGTATTTTGTTGTCTCCACTGTAGAAAATTTGAAGCATGTATAAAAGTATATAGCAAAAACTTAAATATCTAGAAATAGTCATCCTCAAGGATTTGTTAGCACATACCCTTCCATTCTCTCCATGCAGATCTAGTTGTTTCTTTATGGAATAAATTTTGAGGAATGATCTGCTTTATGAGAGACAATGTGCTGGACCCTGAAGACAAACGGTGAGCCAAGGGCACAGTCACTGGCAGCATAGGGGGAGACAGCTCAGTAAGCCACACCTATTAAGTGTGGTGATGCCAACATAAGCTTCGGGCAAGCCTAGTGGAGACATTTTTCCTGCCCAGGAACGAGTTAGCTCCAAGCTATGATTTGTCACATCTGACTAGGGCTAGCATTTCATAAAACAGAGCTATTGTATTTTACAGACAACTGCTCTTAATGTCAAACATTAAGGTTGTAGATTTGCAACAAGTTACTGATGCAAATCTTTGTATTGTTCTTTGGAAGTGATTTTGAAAAGCACTGTTGCAAAGTTTCTGCTGCAAATTCAGACTCTCACTGCAGAGTCTGTCCGATTCTTTCCCTTCAGAACACTGCACATTTTCCCAGCACCATGTAACGGTAACTGCTATTATAAAAAAATTAGATCACATGCTTTGTTATGATTTTCAGAGCCCAGGACAGGGCTTTTCTACCCTCAGTAGACATTATTAGAATTGCCTGTTTCCAAGTCAAGACTCAAGGGCTTTGTTGGTTAGGAGTTGCAAAGAATGGGCACACAGGGACGGGGAGTTAGTTGGCTCAGTGGGTGAAGCATGAAGACTTGAGTTCAAATCCCTAGAACCTATGGAAAGCTGGGCACTGTTTTATATCTGTAATCCCAGGGTTCCTATAGTAAGATGGGAGATGGGGACAGGAGAATCCCCAGAAGCTTGAGTGAGAGGCAGCTAGACTCCTCTACACAGTAGTAAATGACAAGAGAGACACCCTGATTTCAAACAGGGTGAAAGGTGAAGATGGACATTTGGGGTTGTCTTCCGATTCCCATCTACTTACAAGAGCAATGTACGCGTGAACACACCCACCCACCCACCCACCCAAAAGAGTGAACCAGAAGGTGTTTGTAAAACCAAAAAGGCTCTTTCCTCTGTTAATAACAAGGGAGAGACGGAGGAGCACCTGTTCCTTTGGGCAGACTCAACGGGGATGTACAACTTGGCAAGCAAAATTCTGCCTGCATTTCTCCCCAGACTTTTCCCAAAGCAGGAATCTCTGTACAGCTGTGTACAGCATCCCCACACCTGCTGTTTCTCATTATGATTCTGTTCTTGCTGCTTTTGTCTGGATGGTCTTCCTGGCCTCTCTTATCCTATCTAGAAAGCACATTTATTATTTTAGGTACATCCCTGACGCCTACCCACATCTCCCTACTTCCTCATCCTCAGCTATTCAAGACTGCTTTCATGGCTTTCCAGGTTGGCCTTTGAGAGAAGGGACTTGCTCTTGCTAGCTTTGTTTCCCTCAGGGAGCAGCTCATATTTTCCGAAACTTGTTCTCACCTAAAAATATATGTTCCTTGTAGCATATGAATATGGGTTTACACTAACATTTATATTTTGGGAAGATATACAGAAATTCAGTAACCAGATACCCAACTTATGCCAAATCATTTTATAACCACTTATATAATACCGTTGCATTCAAACAAAAACAATCTGTAGTAACTCCTCTTTAATGCTTGCTTATATGTCATTCTAATTTTCTGTGTGTTTGTAAACATAACTTTACAGAAAAAAATACATCTTTTTTTTCTGTTAATGGGCCCATGGCCTTTTCTGTAACATTTTTTTTTCGAGACAGGGTTTCTCTGTGGCTTTGGAGGCTGTCCTGGAACTCACTCTTGTAAACCAGGCTGGCCTCGAACTCACAGAGATCCGCCTGCCTCTGCCTCCTGAGTGCTGGGATTAAAGGCGTGCGCCACCAACGCCCGGCTCCTTTTCTGTAACATTTAACCTTTCAATGGTTTTATAAAATTAAGTCACAGGTCTGTT